GATGAGATGAGATAAGATTTTGATTGAGATTTTTTACAATGACTATATTTAAAAAAAAAAACGTTTTTGCTGCCGTTTTTTTTTTAAATATTGAACGTTAAATAGTCATAAATTCGAATCATGGCCCCTCTTGGCCCTTTATATGAGGGACCAGCCCTTTTTTCTTCATCTGAAAGATCTCAAGCTTTTAAACTCTATTTATTCATCAAGAATTAAGAGATTGTTTTCGTTTTCGAGTTATTGGCAAAAGAAATATTTAGGGGCCATCCCTTTAATTCCCTAATGGGGACGTTTAGCGAAAAGAACGGTTGCATATTGTTCAGAACATTATTTTGAACATCTTTTGTTCAATATTACTAATCAAAATATTTCCAACTTTTGAGATATAAAACGCCAAAGATTTAGTATTCTGGCCCCTTATGGTCCCTAATTATGTACCATACGATATAAAAATCATAATATGTAGTTGTAAATGGTTGAGATAAACATCTTTGCTTCATTAATGTATTACAAAATATTAACTGATAAAGAGTTATCGATTGAAGACTTTGGGAACCTCTCCGCCCCTAATCTGAAAACTCAGCCCCTTTTCATTGATCTTACCATAAAGGTCTAAGGATTTTGAACACTTCTTGTTCAATAACAATTCAGAGATTCTTCTTCGTTTTCGATTTATATGCATAAAAGATATTTAAGGGTCAACCCTTCAACTCCCAAATGGGGACATTAAGCGCAAAATGAAAGGTTAAAAATTGTTCAGAACATTATTTTAAACATCTTTTGTTTAAAATTACTTATCAAAATATCTCTCTCTTTCGAGATATAAAGCGTCGAAGATTTAGCATTCTGGCCCCTTGTGGCCCCTAATCATGTTCAATACAACATAAAAATCTTAATATAAAGTTGTAAACGGTTGAGATAAACATCTTTGCTTCAGTAATGTATCACAAAATATTAACCGATAAAGAGTTATTGATTAAAGACTTCTGGCCCCTCTTGGTCCTTAATTTGAGTGCCCAGCCCCTTTTTTCTTGATTTCGTCTTAAAGCTCTTATGATTTTGAAGACTTTTTGTTCAACAACTATTCATAGATTCTTTTTCATTTTCGAATTATTTGCAAAAGAAATATTTAGGGGCCAACCCTTCAATTCCCTAATGGGGACGTTTAGCGAAAAATGAAAAGTTGCATATTGTTCAGTACATGATTTTGAACATCTTTTGTTCAATATAACTTATCAAAATATCTCTCTCTTTCGAGATATAAAGCGTCGAAGATTTAGCATTCTGGCCCTTTGTGGCCCCTAATCATGTACCATACAACATAAAAATCATAATATAAAGTTGTAAACGGTTGACATAAACATCTTTGCTTCAGTAATGTATCACAAAATATTAACTGATACAGAGTTATTGATTAAAAACTTTTGGCCCCTCTTGGCCCTTAATTTGAGTGCCCAGCCCCTTTTTCTTGATTTCGTCTTAAAGCACTTATGATTTTGAAGACTTTTTGTTCAACAACTATTCATAGATTCTTTTTCATTTTCGAGTTATTTGCAAAAGAAATATTTAGGGGCCAACTCTTCAACTCCCTAATGGGGACGTTTAGCGAAAAATGAAAAGTTGCATATTGTTCAGAACATGATTTTGAACATCTTTTGTTCAATATAACTTATCAAAATATTTCTCTCTTTCGAGATATAAAGCGTCGAAGATTTAGCATTCTGGCCCCTTGTGGCCCCTAATCATGTACCATACAACATAAAAATCATAATATAAAGTTGTAAAAGGTTCAGATAAACATCTTTGCTTCAGTAATGTATCACAAAATATTAACTGATAAAGAGTTATTGATTAAAGACTTCTTGCCCCTCTAGGCCCTTAATTTGAGTGCCCAGCCCCTTTTTCTTGTTTTCTTTTTTAAGCTCTTATGATTTTGAAGACCTTTTCTTCAACAACTATTCATAGATTCTTTTTCATTTTCGAGTTATTTGCAAAAGAAATATTTAGGGGCCAACCCTTCAACTCCCTAATGGGGACGTTTATCGAAAAATGAAAGGTTGCATATTGTCTAGAACATGATTTTGAACGTCTTTTGTTCAATATTACTTGTCAAACTATTTATCACTTTCAAGATATAAAGCGTCAAAGATTTAGCTTTCTGGCCCCTTGTTGCCCCTAATTATGTAATAAACGACATTAAAATCATAATATACAGTTGTAGATTGTTGAGATAAACATCTTTGCTTCAGTAATGTGTAACAAAATATTGACTGTAAAAGAGTTATCGAATTAAGAGTTTTGGCCCCTCTTGGCCCTTTATGTGATGACTCAGCACTTTTTTCAAGCTATCATCTGAAAGATCTTGTGATTTTGCACAAATATTGTTCATTATGTTTTAACAAATTAATTATATTTCAAAAGATATGATGCAAAATGTCTCAAAAAATTATTCATCAAATGTATCCTAAATTTTGACCCCTACTGAGCTTCCATACTATGTATTTCCGGAAACTATCCAAACTCCCAGTAACATGGGAACATGTCTTCTATCATCACTGAAAATTTCAGCGCTCTAGCTCAAGTTGTTTTCGAGATAATGGACGGACAAGTAGGTCCCTTGAATTTTAAAAAAAGGGCGATAACTCAAGACCGGTAGTGATTTTCAAAAAATCCTTCAGCCGGTATAAACTTCAGATCATCTAGCATCATCCCTGAAAATTTGAAGGACGGAAGACCTTAACGCAGAGCAAAGCTCGTTGCAAAGCAACGAGCAGCGTTTTCCGTCCTGTTTGACCGGAAGGTGTTCATTTTTAACAAAAATGAGAAAGAACGCCGAAAATGCTTTGAATAAGCCATTTTTGCTACTTCCGGTCAGACCGGAAGTATTTACGACGGCCGGAAAAATCAATATTTAAGCTCCAAAAGACATAGGTTACCCAAAAACTTGTCAAGAACGGCAAAAAAAACTTTGCTTCTTTGATGTATTACTAATTCAACACTTTTTGAGATATATAGGAAAAACTTTCAGCCCCCCTAGGCCCTTGATATTAAGGGGCCAGCCCTTTTTTGGAGATATCAATTGAAACATCTTCAAATTCTACACTTCTTTTGTCGACAGGATTTTTTAACAAAATATTTTCAGGTAAAACATATCGTAGAAAAGGTGGTAAAAATTTTAAAATTCGCGATACGACTTTTTTCGGGCCATAGCGAGCGCCGAAGTGCGGCACTTGGTAAAAATTAAACTTCTTAGTACAAATAAACCTTCCTTGCTCTATCATCACTGAAAAATCTATGTTCCTGTGCTAAGTGCTTTTCCAAGAAGTGCTGCGGCAGAAAATTACCCTCTGAAATCACTAAATCTCGAAAATCTCTAAACCAGAAGTGACGTCATCAAAATAAAAAATTATATTTCTAGCATTTTTTATTTCTTACCTGGCCTGAAAGTTTCATGAAAATCATTCGAGCCGTTTTCGAGAAATCGCGTGCACAAAATCGTTAGGAAAAACAAACAATAATAAAAATAGTGGAAAAGAAACCTAAGAATACAGAAAGGTCTTCCGCTGAAGACGGAAGACTTTAATAAGAAACAGAGTAAAACAATATGCTCCCCAACTTCGTTTGGGAAACATAATAATGATTTTTTTCACAGATCATATTCAAGAAGACAATATCTTTAAGCGATGTCATCAATGACATTATATTTGACTGTTTTATTAAATGTCAGTGACATAGATAGATAGATAGATAGATAGATAGATAGATATTTATTTGGTATACTACACATACGTTGCAATATTCACAATATAATTTAAGATATATATATATAAAAGATGGCATTAAACAATATAATTGATATAAAATATCGGAATCAATCATTTTTAAAAGACATGAATTTATAAATATGATTCACATAAGATTATATTTGTATACCAAGGATAACCCATGAAAGCCAATGGCTTATTTCCAATGGGGTCCTTATACTCAAACATGTATATTAATTGGATGTTAATTAATATAAGGAGATAAATATAAATTGACATGTCAAGATCATTATCTTTTCCTTTTCATTAAGAATCAAAAACTCTTGCTCCATTAAAAAAATATAATAATGTTATGTTTATTTTCTCTCTCTTCAAAAATTAAGGCTAAGATAATAGTGCGTTTATTTGTGTTAAAGAATGCAATCTCTTATTTACCTAATACATATTTTGACATTTTACTTTTGAATAATATTTTTTCTCTCACATCAATAAAGATAAGCTAGTTCAGAGGACAATGAAAATTTATTTACATGTAGTTGGTTATACAGTGAAAAAAACATTTAAGTAATTAAATACTCTGTTAATGAAGGAATTTGGTGGCGATCATTACTGAATACAATAATTTTCCTGTACAAATGTTGTTTTTCATTATCCTGGTTTAAATTTATATCGGTATTAATCATTCACAAACTAGTACAATAAATGAAGTGCTTAACAATGAAAACAATTAATTCATCACTTTGTTACAAGAGTCTTAAAAACAAATTACCTTCGATTTTAGCTTTAAAATATTTGACACAGAATATATGTACTTTAAAAAACCTAATATTATTACAAAAATTAGTTATTTTTATTCTGTAACCTTTGACATGGGCAACCACTGTATTCTGTTAAATCCAATCACTTGAATTCCATACGAATTTTAACACTGGTTGATGTATATCTATGTGTGTAACAAAGAAAATCATTATGACTTTACAAAATACTTGTTTTCTTTATAGCTTTTGATAATGAATTTCTGGCTTTGCATTCTCCAAATAATGTTAATTTTATTTTCAACAAAAACTAACCTTAATCATAGATCTCCAATTAATTCTTATTTAAAATTTTATTTTACCAGGACTTATGATTATATTTTTTACTCTCCATTGAATTATACGTTTGAAAGATGTTGAACAAATAGGAATTTTAATGAAATTAATAATACATTTTTTTTTTTACTTTTTTAATGAATAGAAAAAATATATAAAGATTGTTCAGACATTGTGAAAAGAGACCCAGACAAGATTGAACAAGATGGAGTGTATGTTATTTACGCTGACACATGGAGAGAGGTCTTCTGTGACATGACGACAGATGGAGGAGGGTGGACGGTGAGTAGTGTGTTTTATTGTCAATGTTATTCATCGACAACACCTGGAGATATGTCTACTGTGATATGAAGACAGATGGAGGGGGTGGACGCTGAGTAGTGTCTTTTATTGTCAGTTATACACTGGCAACACCTGGAGAGAGGTCTTCTGTGACATGTAGAAAGATGGAGGAAGATGGACGGTGAGTAGTGTGTTTTATTATCAATGTTGTACATCGACAACACCTGAAGATAGGTTTACTGTGACCTGACGACAGATGGAGGAGGATGGACGGTGTGTAGCGTTTTGAATGAAATGTTCTTTTATTGGTGATGACTAGAATATGAAAATGAACATAAAAACAATAAATAAATACTGAATCTTCAAGATCCTGATCATTGAGCTTGTTAAAATAAACGTCTGCATATTTTCATTTTCTGCCAAATGAACTCAATCCACTTCAGTTAGCTGAACAAAACAACAATGTGACAAATTGCTAATTTATAATTAGTTTGTCCAAAACAAATCAAAGATACTTATTCTTATCACCCAGTGACTCTAGATAACCAAAGAATAGCGAAAACCAGATATTCCTCCACACCGCAGCAAATTAATAGGATAGAAAAATGTAATGATCAATTTATTTCTTTTTTATTTTTATGACAAGTACCAATTAAGTAAATAAATGAATGCTGTTTACAGACTTTTCAGAAAAGACAAGACGGCGACTTGGATTTTTACCGAACATGGAACGAATATAAAGAGGGGTTTGGGAATGCCTCTAAAAACTACTGGTTAGGTACGTATGGGACATCTAAACCTCTACTGTTAATGCAGTCTAACATGTAACAAAAAATATAATATTTGTCGTCCACACTTCTTTTCTTTAAACATGTTAACTCAATGATAAATTGTATTTGCTGACAAGGCCATTGATCAAAGAACTTAGGAAACAATGACTTTAGAACAAGACTGCTAAATTCTTGTTTCATCAACTTGTTTGTTAATAACTAGTATTTACCTTGTTTTAGAAATTATCCATGCGTAGAGCATTCTCTTGCGTATCGAATCAACTGAGATATATACACTCCTATGTAGATGATGAAGGTATATTGCTGATTAAGTAAGGAAAGTTGAGGATGGAAAAGTTAAAGTCATCACGTTTATCATAGAGCATGGTTGTTTGATTTCCATTAACGTCTTTTTCAAGTAAAATATCCCAAGTATGAATCTGATGTGTCAGACTCTGTGGTATCTTTTATCTCAAGATCACCAGGATATATCGTATTGACATGGGAATGGAAATAACCATTGTTAATTGACAATACGTCGTCGATATACTAGTATATAAATGTCGAGTTGAAGGCCACAGCAAGTATTTTCCTCTTTTCACGCATACGATTTTGCACAAATTCTGCTTCATATGAATATTAAAATAGGTCTGTTAATACCAGGAAAAATAATTGGAAAAATATTCTTTAGAGAGATATTGTTTTTCTCGTTGATTAATATACATGGTCATACAGCTAAAACGTTATTTTATGATAATCCATGGAGTATTTATAAAAATACTCCATTCCAAGTAAAATTCAAAATAATGCATTTCAAGTAAAATTGAACAGTAAACCATGTCACATTTTTTTTTTTAGAAATTAGAATTTTTTTTAGAAACAGAAATTTTACAACGCGCTTAGATAAATAATAGGGAAAAATAGTCTGTTTATTAATAGAATATTAATTTTGTCTACATGTCAACAAAGCACAAAAATTATGTAATATATAAAAGTTATGTACCTGTTTTCCCCCTTTATAAGGAAATGACGCAATTTATGAGTTGACAAAGAACAAGGACCAGGAACTCCGGGTTGATCTACAAAGATTTAATAATGATACAGCATACGCTCAGTACTCCACATTTTATATCGGGGACGAAGACAGTAAATACAGACTCACTGTATCGGGGTACAGTGCTGCTATCCCACAAGTTGACATGGGATAGGATCGGATAGGATTCAGGATTGAGAAACATATAGAAGTTAATCCAATCCTATCCTATCCTATCCTATCCTGTATCCTACAGCCAATCAGATTCGAGCAAAGGTTTATTCATATTTCAGAATAAATTACAAAAACGAAATACGATATAAAATGTTTACAAAAGAAATATTTATAAATTTTTCAATAGAAAATAAAACATTCTTTTCTCTAAACACATATTTACATTATAAACTTCGAGTAACACGACGTACGATCTAACCGTGAACGATCACCGGAAGGTGGCAGAGGATAGTTTCGAATAAATAACGGTCAAAAAATAGAAGAAATAGAGAAACCTGAGGTTTGAATGCATATTATAGGTAATTTTATAGCTAGAATATTTTATGGGTGCATTTGGAGGGAATTGGTGGCCTTGGTAATGTTTTATTGAAATATGACACTTTAGTGTCACTACTACTGTACATGGGATATGGACTAGAAATACGAAACTAAGCTCAAAGTCTCGCTCTACCGGTATTTCACCAGAAAAGCGGGGTGGGTTCACAGGATGAATTGTAGCTTGAAAACAAGGTGGTTGAGCCATTATCTCTTGCTGTTCATTGGTATGTACAAATGTTATTCTGCAATTTGTGTGGTAGCTTAGGTCAGGCGCACGGGCCTGGAAGCAGATGCGGCTGCGGCGAAATAGTGAAAATAGGCTTGATTCACATGAAATTTTGAGATTGTCCCTGTGCCATCTTTAGAGCTCATTGTGTAAGTTGTACATGTTTTTTTTAAAAACTTCAAATTT